CCTCATGTATTGTCCCCCCCCAGTGCACGTATCACCTCATGTATTGTCCCCCCCCAGTGCACGTATCGCCCAGTGGCATCAGGAGAAGGGCAAACAGAGCTACAAGTCGGGCCCTCGTCTCATCGTGTTCATCATCGGGGGCGTGACCTACTCGGAGATGCGCTGCGCTTACTCTGTCACCCAGGCCGTGAAAAACTGGGAAGTTCTCATTGGTAAGTTGTCCAGCCAAGCCCAGCCCACTCTGTCTTTCCACTCTGTCATTCCACTTTGTCATTCCACTCTGTCACTCCACTCTGTCTTTCCACACTCTTGATCTTTACGCTTCTCGCAGCTGTTTGAATCATGGTAGAACCGTTTGAATGGCGTGTGATTTTTGCAAGTAATGGATTTCCGTCAGATTTTTCTCGACACATTATAAAATTAGAGCATATTCTATGTACATATTCTATGTAGTTTAAGTTAGAGTTTTACGCCACTTGCAACACAATGACCTTATTGTGTTGCAAGTGCCGTAAAACTTTTACTGTGGGTGGTTGGCGTGTGCTCTGGTGTGGTTTGCTCCTTCTTTCCTATAAAAAATCTATAGTCTCTCTCTCCCCTCTTTCTCTTTTATGTTTGACTCTTTTGTAACACCTCTAATGTTCAGCTCTTATATGACCTTATTGTGTTGCAAGTGCCGTAAAACTCTTATTGTGGGTGGTTGGCGTGTGCTCTGGTGTGGTTTGCTCCTTCTTTCCTTTGAAAAATCTATTGTCTTTATCTCTCCTCCTTCTTTTTTTTGTTTGTTGCTCTCATGTAACACATCTAATCTTCGGCACTAATATGGCCTTATTGTGTTGCAAGTGCCGTAAAACTCTTACTAAAACCGTCTGTTGTCCCTGACTGACCATCTTGTGTGACCGTCTGTTGTCCCTGACTGACCATCTTGTGTGACCGTCTGTTCCCCAGGTGCCACCCACGTCCTGACCCCCGAAGGTTTCCTGGGAGATCTCCGGAGCCTGAGCACAAGTCAAAGCTCGTGATTTCTCCGCGCATTCCCTCCACTCACTTAGCGTACAATTTACATTTATCTATATCTAGAGAATCAATTGTCACTTCACCCGGGCCCAAAATTATGTATTCATATATGTATAGGTTGTCAGAGAGATGCTCAAATGTACTTTGCCCAGAGAGTAAAGTGTTTTCTGGAGAGAGAGAAAAAAAACTATTTCATTCTTTGGACAAATGGTCGCTTTGAAGCACAAGTGGGCTATCCCGATAAATGCTGTTTTGAGAAAATCAAAGGTAAAGTTTTTGCCCCTTGTTCAGTTTCTTTAAAAGACAAGGAGAGTTTTCTCTATAACCAAACAAATATACACACCAATGGAACTAAACTTCTCCTATAGGTAGGGCAATGCCCACTTTTGGTGTAGGTCAAGATGTCTGGAAACCCCGGAAATCTGGGTTAGCCCGCTTGTCCTTAAAAGTGACCAAATTCAAATTCCAAAGGTCTTTGACCTTTGGAATTTGAATTTTGTTAGGGCTTATAATTACATCTGAACAGGTAGCCGGCGGTCTCTACATATGTGATGTATCTAAATAATCTATGGGCACTTCACCCGCTAGGAAAATGCAGCTCATGTGCGGAAGTGATGGTTTCCCAACTTCCCATCAACAGCTAGATTCTCTCTACTTTTTCTCTTAGCAATATAATTCCTTTCCTGCTTTGTCTTATCCTTCTCTCGCTCGCCAAGAAATGTCCTCTTGGTTTATTTATTTAGGAGAAAAGGAAGGCTTTTTGTCTGTGTTTTTATCCTGGCTGTTATATAT